CTGCAAAGACTCAACGTCAGCCAAGGCGAGTGAGAAAAGGAAGGGTGCGCCGCTCTACATTGTGTACAATTGCGCGTGTGAGTTCTGCATTGGCAATACCACAACTATATCAACAACACGCTCGGTGAGGTGAGCATCTACAACATATCATCGATACCAAACCCTCACGCAGCCAGCAACACCGCACTTAACCAAGCCAAGCCTGGGGGCGATTACACCAAGGTGTCCTTGGTTGGCCGAAAAGGCAGCAGCCATGGCAGCAACTCTAAAACTGGAAAAGCGGGCCTGGAACCCCACACACGGTTTGGCCTCGAACCCAGTTCCGACAGCTACCATTCACTACCTGGCCACTTTTTGTCTTCAGCCAAGCTTTGTGCTTGGTGGGGCCTTTTGTACGCCAGAAAAGGGGGCCCCTCAGCTGAGCCTTCCTTGAGGCCAGCTTTTAGCTGGGCCACTTCTAGCCTACACCAGTGTGCACTGGTAACTACGCAGTCTGGTAGCACCAGACACTGGTTGCCCCACCAGCCTGGCTGACTGGTCATTCGACCCGGCCGGTCCACCAGTTGGGAAAACCTGGGATCCGAAGATCCACGAGCTTCCAGCTAACTGGATTTACCTCAGCAGACATTCTCGTTTCGGGCATGCTGAACCCCGCACGCCCCAGAAGGGACAGGGACACCCCCCCTTGCTCGACCATGTTAAACATGATCTGCTGGAAGAGGCTTTCCTCCAGCGCAGAGTGCGCGAGCCTCGCTGCCTTTTCAAAGAGCACGGGCGGGACCGGCCGCGGGCCTCCACCAGGTCCTTAGCCTGGTTGACGTAGTCTGGGCATGTCCTGGCGAACATCTTCCAGTACTGGCCTGCCAGGCATAGTGGGGTGGCAAGTCCCACGAGCCGCTGTCAAGCAGACAGCTTGGGGGACCTCTCGTAGGCCCCAATTGTCGGGCCCGACATCACGGATGTCTGCGAACCGCGACATTGCCGTGAGTGCCAGGAAGGCTCCAGGCGTACACAGGCTCTTCTTTGAACGGTTGCACTCGCTCCATTGTTAAGGCACAGTACACCTTACTGGTCACACCAGTTTCGGTGGTGAGGTGAGCCTCTATGGTCCCCTCGACGCGCCCCGGTTTCTGGGGACCATTCCGCCGTCGCGGAACCGGGCCTCGTGCCCATGCGAGTCCTCACTACCGATTTTAACGACAGTGTCGCCAGCCCCTGGCGCCGTGAAGACGACTCTGGCCTGCTTTGCTTTCCCGGTTCCTAACACCGGGCAGTCCACGGTGAGGACTTCTTGAGCTGGGCTCTTACTGGTGTACACCAGTCTTATAGTCTCTGGGAATCGCATCTCCAGAGTGGGGTGCCTGGTGGCACGAAGCGTAGCCCAGAGTTTGACTGGCCGAGCCCAGTCTATGCCTGGCATTGGCGCCGGCACTGGGAGGCTTTCCTCCTCTTTCACCCTGAGGGGTGGTATGAGGGGCCTGCTCGGCCCTGGGTGTCAAACTTCTTTCTTTCTCTTTCTCTGTTGGCGAGAGGTCAACGCTGCCTTAGGCGAGGTGAAACGTAGCGGAAGAGTCCTACACCAGTGAACTGGTTTGGCCAAGCTTTGTGCTCGGTGGGCCTTTGTAGGCCAGAAAAGGAGGGCCCTCGCTGCGCCTATTCAAGGCCAGCCTGTGCTGGGCCACGTCTGACCTACACTGGTAGCTAGTAAGCTGGAAGCTCCAGCCACTGGTGCCACCAGCCTGGCTTTTGTCTTCAGCCGAGCTTTGCCTTCCTTGAGGCCAGCTCTTAGCTGGGCCACTTCTAGCCTACACCAGTGTGCACTGGTAACCACGCGGGTGTCAAACTTCTTTCTTTCTTTCTCTGTTGGCGAGAAGTCAACGCTGCCTCAGGCTAGGTGAAACGTAGCGGAAGAGTCCTACACCAGTTTGAAAACTGGTTTGGACAAGCTCCATTGTAGGCCAGAAAAGGAGGCCTTGCTGTGCCTATTCAAGGCCAGCCTGCACTGGGCCACGTCTGACCTTCTCCAGTGGAGCCTGGTAGCTAGTAAGCTGGAAGCTCCAGCCACTGGTGCCACCAGCCTGGCTTTTGTCTTCTGCCAAGCCTTGTGCTTGGTGGGGCCTTTTGTAGGCCGGAAAAGGGCCCCTCAGCCTTCGTTGAGGCCAGCTCTTAGCTGGGCCACTTCTCGCCTGCACCAGTGTGCACTGGTAACTACGCAGTCTGGTAGCACCAGACACTGGTTGCCCCACCAGCCTGGCTGACTAGTCACTCGACCCGGCCGGTCCACCGGGAAAACTCGGGATCCGAAGATCAACGATCTTCCAGCTAACTGGATTTGTCTCAGCAGACATTCTCGTTTCGGGCATGCTGAACCCTGCCCGCCCCAGGGGGGACAGGGACACCCCCCCTTGCTCGACCGTGTTAAACATGATCTGCTGGAAGAGGCTTCTTCCAACGCAGCGTGCGCGAGCCTCCCGGTTCAGCCCCTTTGCCCTGGTTACCTCGTGGGGTACCTTCCACCGACCTATGTCCCAAAGGGACGGTCCACTCAAGAAGGCACAAGATCGAAAGCCGGTGTTGCCAAGACCCTGCCACCGCCGCGCCGACCGACGGCAAGGCCTACGGGTCCAAAGTCCCCGAACTAGGGATTGTACTATATGAGCTGATGTTCCCTGTCCAGAAAAGGAGCATTAGAGTGAAGCGTCGGTTTAGGCGTTCCAGTGTGCGTCTGGAGTGTGTTGTGCAAGGTCAGGTGTTAGGTCTGGCTAGCAGGAAAGGTGAAGTGAAGCGTTTGTTGTGCCTTAGGGTCGTGAAGGTTTCAGGGAAGCTTGTTGCTGGTTGTGTTGTTGAGGTCCAGCACCCCTTTGAAGCCTGGAGGTCCTTTGAGTGTGTTGCGCGAGGGTTTGCTGAAGCCCTCCAAGCCCAAGCTCTTCTGTGTGCGCAAGGGTTTACTGAAGCCCTCCAAGCCAAAGCTTGTGGTGAGAGTGTGTGCGCTGAAGCCCCCGAACCCCAAGCCGAAACCCAAGCTTGTGTGCCTGCGTTTCCTGGAGAAGCTGCCTGTGAGCGTGGTGTTGGAACGCAGTCGTGTCGTGAGCTTGGTGTTGGGACGCAGTCGTGTCGTGAGCTTGGTGTTGGGACGCAGTCGTGTCGTGAGCTTGGTGTTGGGTCGCAGTCACTTAGTTATTTTAGTTCTGCGCCGCAGTGGTCTGGTGAGCGTATCATTGGTATCAGCGTAAGGGATGATAGATCTGAGACGCTGCTTGGCGGTGATGTCCATACTGAGCCAGCTCAGATGCTGGTAGAGCGTGTGCGTGTTTTGCGAGTGAGAGGATTGCCTGTTGTCGTTCCCGTGGAATCCGATGAAGAGTTGATACCGGACCCTGTTCCAGAGCCTGTGGCTATGATGGTGCCTGACTCCAGCGCCGAAGCTACAGCTGAGGATCCAGTTGGGGATGATAGTGAATTGCATGTGCCTTTGGATGATAAGGTTTATCAGGAGCACGTGGCACGAGGACATCAGCCGTACTTACCTGCATGTTCACTGTGTGTTTCTAGTCGTGGAGTTATCCCGGCAAGGCGACGGTGCGACCCCCAGATTCCACAAGCTGGTTTTCTGAGTGACTTCTTGTTCTTCACTAAGGACTTGAGGGTTTGTCTTGTGGTTCATGAATTGAGTGGGTATTCTTTTGGGATTCCTTTTGCTACTGGAGAAGATCCGATGAAGGTGGCTAGGGCCATCAATGCAGAGTTGAGCTTTGCTGGTGTGCAATGGCAGCACATGGTGCTGCGCATGGACAATGAAAATACACTGCAAGCTTTGTGGAACCGAGCCGGGAAGGACCGCACGTTCCCCGCGTCGTCTCTGCATATTGATTCGGTAGCGAAAGGTAGACCTCAACAGAAAGGACAGGTTGAGGTAGGTGTTCGTCGTTTCAAGGAAGCGTTCTGGGTGAATTGGTTGACGCTTGAAAAGTCGCTTGGAAAGAAACTTCGTTTGGGTGGTTTGTTGTTCAAGGAAGCTTTGAGGTATGTAGGAAGAACCCGAAACCTGCATGCAACCTCGAGGTCTCAGACCACGCCTATGGAAAGAATGCGTCGGCAACACCTCCCGGTGACTAAGACATTTCCTTTTGGGTGCAAAGGTTTCGCCAAGCCTGCGAAGCAACGGCCCGAGGATCGAGGACGCCGCCTCATCCGGTGCAGTCTGCTGACTCAGGTGCCCCGTCGAGGCAGGACAACGTTGTAGAGCGCCCGATCTCCCTGGACCTGAAGCCTCCTGAAGCTTTTGTTCCTGGAGAGCCTCAAGGTGATCTAATTGAGAGGGGGATGGGAGATAGAGATCTTGATGATGAAGAGATGGATGATTATTCCCCTGATCAAGAAGATGTTTTGCCTGAGGAGACCCCGCCTGAAGGGCCCCCGGTTGGAGAGAACGAGGCCCCTCCTGAGTTTGATGTTGACATGCAACCTGCTGAAGATGATGATCCCATGGATGTGGCGATTAGTTGGTTGCAAGATCATGCGCTGTACGCGCTGTGCTCGAAGCCTGAGGTGGTCCGAGCGGCCAAAGGTTCCGAAGAACCTAGTAACAAGGCTTTGGAGTTTACTTTGAAGTTTGGAGGGTCTAAGGTGAAGGTTCAGGTTGCTTCAGGGGCTGCGGATGAGTATGCAGGTGAACTTCTTGATGAGAAGAAACTGGGTGAAGGCATGAAGCTTGAGATGGAAGAACTTGATAACTTTGGTGTTTGTCAGGTTGTTTCTGAGAAAGAAGCCGTGCGCCTGGTGCGTGAAGCAAAGCGGCGGGTGCTTTCCACCCGCTGGGTCCTCCACTACTTTACACGAGGGCCGAGACGGACCAGGCCATTGCCGACGCCGCGTCGAGCAGCGTGGATCTGTCGGCCT